ATGAGCTGGAAAAGCTGTAACACTGGTAAGTCCCACTGTGAGCAGCAGTCACTTTGGTGATGGGGAAATCAGCCCCATACCATCTCTTGGTTCCCTTGTAAGGCCCAGTATCCCCCTCTTTGTATAGAACAAATTGATTAAAACTTTTGGGGGTCTGGCACTTCAGGGTCACGTCCCTGCCCGGGGGGACTGCTGAGCTGGGATGAGCTGAGAGTGAGGGTTTACTGTAAATGCCTGGGAAGAAAGAAAGCTGTGTTAAAGACAGGAAACACACTGGGGAGATGACTCCGTAGGTAAAGTGTTTTCTGTGTTTACTTAAGACCTAGAATACACAAGAGTCTAACTCAGGCCTACACAGGAAATTCATGTACATGCTTTCTAAGGCTCAAGACACATTGAGGAAGAGGGAGTAGAAAAACAATTAAAAACATAGAGATGATTTACAAAATGCTGTCTTCAAGGCATTGCAAGCATGATCTCACAGCAGCTATGGTTACCTCTACAAGATCAAGCCAGTTTGACATTGGAGAGGAGGGGGCCTCCCTAACTGAGGAGTTGCTGGCAGTTGGCAGCTGCTGGAGGAAGGAAAATGTTTTCCAGTGATGGCCCCATTTCATTGTTTGCAGGCATGAAATCTCTAACAATAATTTTTTTTTAATTTCTTGTATTGCATCAAAATGTTATTTGTCTCGATTAATGACTGTGCCAGAGACACCACCCCTGTATTCAGTAAACAAGACCAATGACTCATTTGTCTCATACTCACTCTAGCACCAGGGAATTTAGGGGTTTACCATCTAGCACCCACTTGCTCCACTTTCACCCTCTCCAAGTCCAGAACTGAAGGCCAGGCAACCTCAGAGCCACAAGACCAACAGCACTCCATCCCTTCCTGCTATGGAATGTTGTTCTGTGTGCTGTGAACGTGTGCTGTTCTAACTGGTTGATAAATAAAGCTGTTTGGCCAATGGTGAGGCAGAACAAGTTTAGACAGGACATTCCAACTAGAGAGAGAGGAAGGAGAAAGACAGAGCTGAGAGACAGTGCTAGCTGCCACCAGGAGAAGCAAGATATAAAGTACCGGTAAGCCACAAGCCATGTGGCAAAGTATAGATTTATAGAAATGGGTTAAGATGTAGGAGCTAGCGAGAGGCCTGAGCCACTAGGCCATATAGTTTAAAAATAATATAAGCCTCTGTGTGTTTATTTGGGTCTGAGCAGCTGCAGGACTGGGCAGGATACAGGACAACTCTCTAGTTACACCTCCCCCTCCAGTTACCTGTAGCAATTAGCTCAAGGTGGTCACTTGGGGGAGACCAGTGACTCCCATTCTGATACGAGCAACGGTAGCGTCCGGCATCGTTTATTTTCATGCGAGGGATGAGGCGAAAGTCTTGATCATTATACTCCTTGGTTTTCAGTTTCTCTATTCGATATAAATCCACGACCCGAGGCCCCTGGCACCGCAGAGTAACTGACTGCTCCAGGGCC